GTTTCGACAAGGTTTTGTCATCATCGAAACGTTGTACATTTGCTGTCATGTTAAACTTATATTAAAAGTTTTTCTTCATTACCCATTTAAGCCGTCTCCAGCCATTGTTAGTAGCTGAGGTTATATACAAAACGTTAGTAGCTGAGGTTATATACAAAACGTTAGTAACTGAGGTTATATACAAAACGTTAGTAACTGAGGTTATATACAAAACGTTAGTAACTGAGGTTATATACAAAACGTTAGTAGCTGAGGTTATATATAAAAGTAGAATGTAATGGTGGAGTCTTTGTTTACAAATTATGACACGGTGGGTAATATAAGTTGTCAACAAGTCCATAGGCGGGGGGATCAGGGAGGCACTGGGGGTACATGCTTCCCCCTCTGAATGGGGAATAGAGACTCGTCATTGAAAGTCGCCGTTTCAACTTTGAATTTAACTGTCACAGTTAACATAGCAAATAATGTGCCCCCCAAGTTCAGATATGTTCCCCCCCTACACAGAAGCTTGAACAATGTTTCAACGTAAAATCAACATAAAGTAATAAAATTCAACAAAATTGGGTTTAACTAAAAGAGGAATTAATAAGACATCACGAGAGACGGAAAGAAACATCCACTCGTTGAGTTGGTTAGAATATAAGTTAAATCCTCTCAATAAAAAAAATCGTCTTTTGCGTTTTAGATGTATCGAAAAGATGAGACAACAGCAAGGTAATACTCATCGCCTACCCTACCTTTGGTTTCTATGGTTACCGCATAAACTTGCGTGCGCACCTAAACTGCGGAATAAGGGAGTTCGTAGTGTGGTTGGGTGTCTAACTTCTTGAGTGTGAAGTGTATCGGTAGGGGGCGTTCTAAGGTGAGGTATGTCTTCAGCAGATGCTTTAGGAGTGAGATAGTAGAGTACGTCAGTGTGACCAAGACACGTAGACTTCTATCAGTGTGTGTAGTTATTAAAGTGTTCTATAAACTAATGAGGATCGTCAAGAAAGTAGTAAAATCGAGGTTGATACGAGAATATTTTAATAATATATCATCGAACTTTGGTGAAAACATCTAAAACGTTTTGTGCATGCTTTTATCTTGTTACAAGATGTTTATGTAAAGTTAGTTTCTCAACTATCTGTAATCGTTATCTCCTGATACAATCTTTCTTTGTTGGCCTTACAAAATACCCCGTCACACACACATTGTTCTTCCATCAGGAGCAAACTGACACGTTCTCCAAGTGTCCGCCACGGCGTTTTCCACACTGTCTTTCAAAGTCCTGCTGGACAAAGTTCGTTCACTGTCCTCTGTTGCTCTCGAGTATGAACACTTGATAGAACGATTTCTGCCGCAGGGCCTGCGGTGCCCCTCGACACCGCCCACGGAGGCCCTGGACATAAGCAGGTGAGTCTGTGGAAAACTGTGTAGGTAAATTATCAAACTGAATATCTAATTATGAATATAAACGAAGATGGAGGAGAGTGTGTGCTTTTTGGAAAATTGTATGAATAGTTCGAGCACGTTAAAAGAGGTGGGGAAAACTATAAAAATACACTTTCTTATATAGAAACAAATATATAAGAGTATATTTGTGTAGAAAACACTAAAACAAGACTCCTTTAGTTACAAGCAGATAAAAATGTGTTTGCGTAAAAAAACAGTAAAAAAAGACACTTCCTTATATGGGTATTAGCACGTAAATGTATGTGTTGTGTATCAAACTGTAAAAAAAAAGACACTTCCTTATATGGGTACTAGCTCATAAATGTATGTGTTGTGTATCAAACTGTAAAAAAAAAGACACTTCCTTATATGGGTACTAGCTCATAAATGTATGTGTTGTGTATCAAACTGTAAAAAA